ACATATATCTGAATAACTTTATATAAGGATCTAACACAACATTGTAAATGAACTATATTTTAATAAAAAAGACAAAAATTCAAAGTAACTGCTAAAAATATTTCAGATATCTAAAATTAATGATTTAAGAAATAAAGGAAGCTATCATGAAATCATAAATACAGAATATGAATAAAGAAGAGAAATTTTTAAAAAGAACTAAATGAAATGCTGGACTTGAAAATTACAATAACTGAAATTTTTAAAAAATCAGCTTTGGACTCAGCAATGATAACCTTAACTTGAAGATAGTGGAACCAATTCTCCCACCTGTGACTTGTATAACCTTGTGAAATTTAACTGTCTTGCTAGCCCCGCTAATCATGAACTGCTTGTCATTGCACTTTTATGAGAGAGCAGTATACTGTTTCATTTAAGTCACTTTAATTTTGGGGTCTTGGTAGTAAGGTTGCAGCTACATTGTATTGTTAAGATAATTAAATGATATATTTATAAAATTTTTCATAATGTGTACAGTATATTATAAATGCTCAGTAAAAGATAATTAGACATAATTTTCTTCATCTCTAGGGAAAAGTACAGAAGTGTCTCTTTCTGTTTAATTTCTCATCTCCCTCCCCTTTCTGAAACCACCTAGTCTTTCTCCCTCAATAACACTGTACTCTTGTGATTCTTTTCTTGGCCAGCATTTGGTTTTTTCTTTCTTTGGTTCACCAATGGCTATTTCTCAAGCTTTTCCTGTTCATATTCCTCTGTTTTGATAGATTATGTTTCTCAGGCAAAATCTATTAAATCTGCACTCATTATATTTATTAATTTTTATGACTACAAGGTTCATCATTTGAAGACATACATAAGACCCAGGCCAACACTTCTAAATTTCTGTTGCATATGTCTGCCTCTTCTTTGAGCTTAATGTGTCAAGACTGATCTTGTTATTGATTTTCTCATGATAAAAAACCTTCTATGTTTTCTAAGATCTAGCATCTCCTCACAACTTTAGGCTAAAAATGAAAACAGAACCACAATTCTCCTACTCCTTATGGCATCATCTAATTTTTTAAGGTATGGTTGCTTGTAATCCTATTATTTTTTCAGCAACAACAAATCTTATTGCAGAGAGAATGCTTCTCCATGGCATCTTCTCTGACCTTGGATCCAGTTCCTCTATCTTGTCTATTCAATGTTTGGGTCTTCAGCTCACTACAGTGCAATCCCCTTTTCATCTATCTGTACTATCTTCTCTCCTCCATCAAAATATTAATCCTTGTAAGAAGAAACTATTACTCATACTTTTCTGATTTTGCCCACTTTAAACACAGTGAGCCTTCCTAAAATGCTTAAGGTTGGCTGAAAAAAATACACAACCCAAAAGCTGAGAATATGCTTTATTTGGTGAGCTTTCTGAGGATAATAGCCAGGTTTACAGCTTTTCAGATAGTTTTTAGATGCTGTTCTGAAGAGGTAAGGGAGGAACCAGTATAGGTAGAAGTTTTGCTAGAAAAAAAATGCAGCTGAAAGATCAAAAGATTCCTGCTAATCACAAAGAAACCCCGGACATCTGAAATCAATTTTAGTGGGTTTCTGTAAATGGGAAGATGTAAGAGCCTGAGATTAATGAAGTCATTCCTTTGGTATTCATATTAACTATCAAGGGCCAGTACCCTGAATATATTCATTTTGAATTCCCCTCAGAGTGTACCATTTGTGGGGTGGGATTCAGTTGTTCATGACTTGATGGTTTGAAGGCAAGAAATATTCCTTATTTACTAAAAAGGCAGACAATATTTTTTGTTCACACCAGGAATGGACTCTGTGACTAGAGGGACAAAGCATGTTTATGATGAGGAGAAGAGCAAATTGAATGATCATTAGGGATACAGTTTATTCCACTCTTCAGCAAAACAAAAGTAAGGGAGTAGCAGGAAACCTTGGTTTTGTGCAGAACACAGACTCTGCAAGTTTTAAATCCCCAGAGACTCCCAGAAGACAAGTCACATATTAAACAAACCCCTGTAACTAATGAGAGCAAATTACAAAGTTAAGTGAGAGAGTTCTTTTCCTCTCTTTGATGAAGGAGAGAGAAATCCCTGAGGGTCTCTTAACCAGAAGCAAACCTCTAGAGCTGAGGAACTTCAAACACATGCTTAGCAGATCAAGTGTTAGAAGGAAAGGCTCTAAGCCATTGTAATTCAGTGAGTGTTGGGAGCTGATCATAGCACCTGTGGCCTAACTTTCTACCTCATGTCAGAAGCTCTGGAAACATAGAAAGCTGAGGGGCATGGTCAAAACCGCTTTCCTAACTTGCAAGGTGGGGAAATTTGAAACCAGAATGTACAGGAACTTTCCAGTGTCGCTCAACTAGCAATGATAAAGTTAAAAATCTGGAGTATTTGACCAGTGATGTTCATAGTAAGTTGATCTTTGCCTTTTTTGAGTTATGAACAAAGCATTTTTCCAACAATATGAAGACTATCATGTAAGAATATAACTGATACTGAATTGGGTTTGGAGCCCTGATAAAATACACAAGGTAGGAAACTATTCTTGATATGGTTTGACTGTTTTCTTCATGATTATTTCACTACACTTTCTTCAAATTTACTATTTCTCTTTGACTTTAAATAGATGTATATTATTTTGTCAGTGGATCCATATTCCAAACTAAATTTGAGACAGTTTGATTTAGCAATAACTTCAGAGAGAACAGAGGGTAGGGTGAGGTAGAGTATCCTCATCCCCTTTAGGAACACAAACACCCAGAATACGCCAAAAGTAGAAGGCGTTTCTGATATTCCTATTCTACTGAGGATGATTCTCCAAGTAGTTGTTTACAACACAGTTGGGTAAAGACTGGATAAGGAAGGGGCTGCTTTGAATTTGAATCACTGATTCTTTTCATTTTCAAAGTTCTTCTGAATTTAACTGTGTCTGTGAAAACAAATTTTGGGGGACTGTCCTGGAAGGAATATGGCTTACTGTGTGAAACCAGGCTGTTCTGCAAGTAGTGAGTTAGAAAAACCTTGGGTTTACACCATGGAGCTATTAAAACAACTTCTTTTTCTGCCAATATATTTTCCCTTTGGGGAACCTAGGTAATTTTAGTTTACAAACCATAAAACTTCCCTTGTTATAGAGTTATTGTAAAGAGCTCTGAGAATTTAAGGATCTCAGCTTATAAATGGCTCTACAGGTAGAAGGAATTCTTAATGACTTAGAGATAAACAGAAGGATATGGTCTTCACTTTTCTTTAAGATTTCAGGTCCTAACAAATTTCTCCAAGAAGAGATAATGACATTGGGATTGTCTTATAGTTGTAAGTCGTTGTCCAAATACAGTCCCCAAGTAGCTAGGAAGTTAGCTATCAACCTTAGGTAGATAGACAACATTATACATAGAAAGTTTCTGAGTCAGACAGTGACTCTGTTTATTAACTACTTAATAGTTTTTTTCAGGGTTTAGAGTCAAATCCAAAGCTTCATTACTAAATTCGTCTGAATTTCCTTCATCTGGACATGAATTAGTATATTTTCTGTCCTGTTAGTATTATGGGCCAGTAAAATCATTAATAAGGGCAACAAGAAAGAGCCATAATAAGTAATGAGTATTTGTTTACAGAAACAAATAGCATATTGGAAAAAAACATCACCTACATACACATGGTGATTTGCCAAACCAAATGATCTATCAGAAATTATAAACTTGAACTTCTCTTGTGGTCCAGTGGTTGGGAGTCCACCTGCCAAAGCAGGAGACATGGTTTGATACCTGGTCCAGGAAGATTCCACATGCCACAGGGCAAATAAATCCATGTGCCACAACTACTGAACATATGCCCTAGGTCCTGCGTGCCACAACAAGACAAGCCACCACAATGAGAAGTCCACGCATGCAAATAGAGAGTAGGCCCTGTTCGCTGCAACTAAAAAAATCCCATGCACAACAATGAAGACCAACACAGACAAACATAAATAAATAAATAAAATGATTTTTAAAAAAGAAATTGTAAATTTCACTATTTATCTATTGAAACCAACATTTCAAAGAATAATGGAAAAGTTAATATTTATTTGTCTTTCATATTTCAGAAAATTCAACAATGAAGATCAATCAGACAATCCTGAAAGAGTTCATTCTTGCTGGCTTTTCTGTTTACCCACATGCACAGACAGTCCTCTTTGTGGTTTTCTTTTGCCTCTACCTTCTCACCCTCACAGGTAACCTGACCATCATGAGTCTAACTTGGGTGGACAGATGTCTCCACACACCCATGTACCTCTTCCTTAGTGCACTCTCTTTCTCTGAGACCTGCTACACACTAACCATTATCCCCAGGATGCTGGCAGATCTCCTGGCCAAGAAAAGAAGCATTTCGATTATAGGCTGTGGCTTGCAGATGTATTTCTTCTTGGGACTTGGTGGCACTCACTGTCTCATTCTCACATTGATGGGGTATGATCGCTTCCTGGCCATCTGCAACCCTCTCAGATATCCTTTGCTTATGACCAATATGGCCTGTGGGAAACTTGTGGTCTCTGCTTGGGCTGCTGGTTTCTTTATTTCTGTGACAGAGATTGCATTGATATTCAGGGGCTCTTTCTGCAGTCCCAACCTTATCAAACACTTCTTCTGTCATATGAGGGCTGTTGTGAGGCTGTCCTGTCTAGACAGTGAACTCACAGAATTCATTGTAACAGCAGTCTCAGTGTCAGGCTTGATGGGTACCTTTCTGCTCATTATCCTCACTTACATTTTCATTCTTTCCACTGTTCTCAAGATCCCTTCAGCTGAGGGCAAGCAGAAGGCATTTTCTACCTGTGCCTCCCACCTCACAGTGGTCATCATCCACTTTGGTTTTGCATCTATTGTTTATCTGAAGCCAGAAGCATCAGGGGGAGATGACACAGTGATCGCAGTTCCTTACACTGTCATCACTCCTTTCCTCAGCCCTCTCATTTTTAGCCTCAGGAATAAGGACATGAAGAATGCTTTCAGAAAGGTCCTTGGAAAGACACATTTCTTGAATAAGCAATCTTGGATTACTGATGCATGACTGAATGTTCTCATAAGTCAGTGAGGCATTTACCCTGTGACATGTGAAGTCTGTACTATTTACCTTTCTCCCGAGGTTGGCATATGGGGATCAAGTGACTGAGTCTGGGATCTACGCCTTGACAAGCACTTACTTAGCCTGAAAGAAAGGAGTTCAGTGACTTCTATTCCCTGTCCCTGCAGATTTTAGGCTTCTATCAATGAATCTCTGGGTGCACTTCAGTTTTGATGCAGTCGGGGAAGCAAGATCATGGAAAGAAAAAAAGCAAAACCTTTGACCACTTCACTAAGAAATGCTTTTAGAGAGCTAGAGATGTAAAAGTTGAAGAATTTTTCTAGGTAATGTGATAAGAAACTGATTGTTCCTTCAGGATATAAACCATTTCTGATATGAGATATAGTATGTATAAATCTTCAAGTATGTGTAAATATATATATATATTTGTTAAGTTCCATGCCATACTGACTATTAGTGATTTCTAATAACTTTGTTCATGATCGTGTCTTTCTAAAGATGGAATTAGATACTAGATTCTGACTACACAGGATGTTTTGGAACAATGATTCAAATAATTAATTGGACAGTAATCTACATGTTATAAGTCTATGGGAACCTATCAAAGGCTGAATATAAACTCTAATTTCTTTATGATGGGGGCATTAAACAGCTAACCTTAAAAAAGACACCTCAGTATTGAGTGGTTTAACAATAATAAAAGCGTTTTTGAATAATTTTGGCAGACTATAGTTAATGAAGGCAATTTATTTTACCTAGAGGAAAGTAAATATTGTATAGGTTATATATCACAGAGAGGTTTCTAGTAATCTTAGTGAAATTCCCAACATACAAGCTTAAGAACTTTCTGAATCCTTTCTCAGTTCTGCTGCTAACATGTCCTCTAATGAAGAATACAATTACTATACTAAGGATTGGTGTATATAAAATAGGTAAAAGCTTTGCAATAGTTTCTGACCTACATTATTTATGGGTATGTTCTAAAGATAAGTAAGATAATGGGTGAAACTTATTACTCACTTACCCCGATTCAGGTTATCTATTGCTATGACTATTTTCTTCCCTGGGACTATTTTTGTAAGTGACACTTTAAGGTTAGCTGAAATTCATTTTCTTGAGAATTAAGGACTATTTTTGTAACACACATGCAGGCAGAATATTTGCCCTTTACATTTGTGGTCATTGCTTTAGTAGTATTTCTCCCATTTTTGTTCCATTACTAAAAACTAAAAGCTAGAAAATATCTAAATGTTTAGAAGTCAAGAAACACATTTCCAAATAAAAAGTAAATCAATCAAGAAATCCCATGTATATTAGAAAAAATACTTGAACTGGAGGAAATAAAAATACTACAAGTCAAAGCTTGTGGATGTAGCTTTTCAGTGCTTGGGTGAAATATATAGCATTCAAAATATATAGCATTTAAAATGTTCATAGGCTGAACATTCATAAGATAAGCATTCACCTTTAAAACTCAGTAATAGCTAAGTACAAAAAGACTGTGAAAAATAATATTCCTTGATGAAATTTATGATGAAATTCCTTGATGAAATAAAGACAGAAGACACAAACAACCTTAAGAATGGAAATCTGGATGTTTCTCAGGTCATACAGACATTATTTGAGAATTTAAACAAAATGGGAAAAATCATATAAAATACATACTAAAACTGACATAAAGGAGAAAAAGTTATTTAATTCTCAAGAAAATGAATTTCAATTAATATTTTTTGTTGAGTTCTGCCCTAAGGCCACAGGTGCAAGGTCTTCCATCAAGGTTACAGAAGTAGAGCCCAGACCAAGGTTATGTCTGGAAGTGACTGAGAACCTCTGTAAATGTTTCTGAAAGACCCCCGCATCATCAATAGCAGGCTTCCTGACTCCAAATTAGCAAAGGTGCCCACCCCAGTAGTCGCCCTAACCAATCACCTAATGCCAATCTCCCAGCAGGAACTTTCTTTGCCTTGAGGCTATAAAAATTGGCATTGCAGGTGGATTCTCTACCAGGTGAGCCACCAGGAAAGCCCAAGAATACTAGAGTGGGTAGCCTATCCGTTGTCAAGTGAATTTTCCCAATCCAGGAGTCAAACCAAAGTCTCCTGTATTGCAGGTGGACTCTTTACCAACTGAGCTATCAGGGAAGCCCCCAAACTGGCTACTAACCCACAAAAAGTGTCAGCTTTCCTTGGTCTATCAGGCGGTGTTGACCCACTGCACTCACAGTGCCCACATTATCTCTGTTCTTTGTTCTTAATAAACTGATTCCTTACTGAAGTACTCTGTGTCTAGAAATTGTTTTCCAACCTATGTTCAAACTGCCCCAATACTTATCACATTAAGTATCTGGGTCCTTTAATGTCACTGATAGATTCTGTCAAACTCTTAAAATGCAAATTACTCCAAACTGCACAAAAATATTACATGGAATAGATAAGAGTAAACAGCCTCACTTTCTTTTTTTTTTTTTGCTAATATAAACCATATCCTGGGGCTTCCCTGGTGGCTCAGTCAGTAAGGAATCCACCTGCAATGCAGGAGACCCAGATTTGATCCCTGGGTCAGGAAGATCCCCTGGAAAAGGAAATGGCAACCCACTCCAGTATTCTCACCGGAGAAATCCCATGGACAGAGGAGCCTGGTGGCCTATAGTCCATGGATTTGCAAGAGTTGGACACAACTTAGTAACTAAACCACCACCAAACCCTACACTATATCTTGAAATCTCTCCCAGGAACATAGATGTAAAAATCTCAAGTAAAATAAAACCAACCAAATACATATACTCAAGTTCAATTTGGTTCAGAAATGTAAAGTTTTCACATTTGGAAATCAGTGTAATTATCAGAAGAAAAAAATACTGATTATGAGATTATTAATTGTGCAGAAAAATCTTTTGATAATATTTAATATCCATTCAGGTGATAGAGAAAAAAGCTTATAGTGTAATAGAAATTAAAAGGAAATTCCTTAAACTAATGAAGATTATCAAACTCTTTACTTTATAGTAAAATACTTAAATCTGTGAAGGTTAAATTAGGAACAAGACAAGAAAAACTTTTCTCATCAACTCTATTCCATGTTATTCTAGACTGTCAGTACAGTAAGAAAAGAAAAGAAATAAAATACATTAGCTTTATAAAAAAGACAAAGTGTCATTTCTTTATGATATGGTATGTTAGAAAGTCCACAATAAACTGTATGCAAATTATTATAATTAATAATCAATATACTGCTGGATACATGAACATAAATCAATTGTAGTTTCTTAAATTAACAATTGTAATGTAATATAAAAGTGTATGCTATATGTAAAAGCTTTAAAACTATCACACCCCTTGGAATAAAATTAATAAAAGATAGGTAAATCCTCTACAAAGAAATTTGTAAAGAATTACTAGAATAATTTTTTAATATGTAAATTATGAGATATTTAATTTCATGGATTAGAAGACTCATTGTTGTATAAATGTCCATTCTTTCCATACAAATCTATGTTTCAAGAAAATCTCAGTGGAAATTCTAATAGTTTCCTTTTTTGTATCTGAAAATGATGAAGTATATTAAAATTTATATGGATTTACAAGTAGCCAAGATATTCTTGAAGAACAATTTAGCATTATTTGTTTTACCAAATAACAATTCTCATTATGCAACTGCAGCATGTTATTGGCACAGGTGACAAATACAACAAAAGAAATGAAGAACAAGTCCCCAAATTTACATGCACATGGGTATACCAGGTGGCTAATTATAATTGTTACGATATTTCTTAGCCTCCTTTGCATCCAGGATTTGCTAAGTAACTAAGCTTTTCCAATCACACGTAAGAAGAAATAATGGGTGCAATGTCTACATGTCTCCCTTAAGAGCAGCATCTTTCTTTCTGCTTTCCTGATGGATAAGAATGGGAAACCTGTACTTCGAACTCTGAAATAGAAGCCTTATCTTGAGAATGGCAGAACCAGTCTGTGGCTTGTACAACTTTGTGATGCTAACCTACAGTGCCAGCCTTGCCTACTGTGAACTGATTGTCACTGGTGTTATATAAGAGAGAAATAAATTCTGTCTCATTTCAACCACTTTAAGGGACTTGGTAATTGAGACTGTAGCTACATTGTGTGAAGATAATTAAATGAGATTTTTCTTAAAACTTAATAAAGTGTCCGGTGAATGACAATTGTATATGTTTTTCCAGTATCCACTGGAAAAAATATAAAAGCACTCCTTCATGCGTCACTTCATTACTAAGTTACTTTCTCATTTTTCTCATCTCCCTCTCCTTTGTGAAGCTATATACCCCTTCCCCTCAAGAAAACTGCTCTCATGATTCTTTTCTTAGCCAACTTTTGATCTTTTCACTTCTTTGGTCTACCAACGGCCATTTTCAAGCTCTTGCTCATCTTTTTCTCTTTTTATAATATCTGGTCTTCTCATTAAATCTGTCAAATTTACTCCTGTTAAACTTACTATTTTTTAGTACTTAAATGTTTATAAAGATTGGCAAAACCCAGGCCAACATTTCTAACTTATTGCTGTATATACCTGCCTCTTTTTTGGTGCTTAGTGTGTTAAGACTGAACGCATCACTGATTTTCTTACATTGTTCCTCTTTTTGTGTTTTCTAAGAGTTAGCATCTCCTCACTCCTTTAGGCCAAAAACTCAGAAATACACCTTATACATCTAATCTGTTGTAAACATTATTGTTTAAAGCCCTATTATTTTGCTTCCCTCATAGCTGAATCAGTAAAGAATCTGACTTCAATGCAGGAGACCTGGGTTCAATCCCTGGGTTGGGAAGATCCCCTGGAGAAGGAATTGGTAACCCACTCCAGTATTCTTGCCAGGAAAATCCCATGGACAGAGGAGCCTGGCAGGCTACAGTCCATGGGGTTGCAAGAGTCATACATGACTTAGTGACTAAACCACCATTTTGCAATAACAACAAACTTTATTACAGAGAGGAGTAAAAATTACTTATATTAGG